TGCGTGTTGAAGTCCCCTCCCTTTGGGGCCACCTGAGTGGCTCGGTCGGTGAAGCGTTCGACTCTTGATCGCAGGGTGGTTGAGTTCGAGCCCCGCGTCGGGCTCTGTGCTGACAGCTCAGAGCCTGGAGCCTACTTCGGATTGCGTCTCCCTCTCTCTGCCCCTCCCCCGCTCGTACTCTGTTCTCTCTCTCAAAAGTAAATAAATAAATAAATAAAACGAGCCTTTAATCATGTGCTTTACCTCACAAGACTGCCGTGCTAATCAAGAGGGCAATTTGGTGCCCGTGAGAGTAATTTTTTCAACTGCAAAATAACACACAGACGTAGAGGAGTGTCGGATGAATGTGCGGTCTAGCCGGGTAGCTTCGAGAATTCTTTGCCTCGCCCACCTATAAGAAAGATCCTCTCACCCCCAGGTGGGTCAGGGTTTGTCTTCTCTCTCTCCCCAAGGTCCCTGCCCAGAAGTGGCCACAACTCAGGGATGCTGAGTTAACCATCCCTGAGTTAACTCAGGGATGCTGAGTTCAGAGGATCTAAGGTCAACCACCAGGTAAGCTACAGAAGGCCGGAGAAACTGGATACTTTAATTCATGGGCTCTGCAAGGTGCCTCTCAGTTGCACGCACAGCCAGCTCTGAGGGTGTTTTCTCTTTGCACAGCGAGGCATAGCAAATGCAGCTTACCGTCCCAAGGAAAGTTCCTTCTTCTACCGTCCTGCTCTTCAACTAGGCATCGTTCAAATGTGCTTCATAGGAGAAAAGGTCGACCTAACGGCACATGACCATCTTGCTGGAGACCTCAACCAGCAAGCACCTTACCTCCGTTTCTTCCAACCCGACACAACAATACCATAATCCTATCTGTCTGGCGTCCACATTATATTTTTAAGTAATTCGAGATCCTTTCCTGCCCGTGACTCGTTTTGTCTTCACAAAGCCCCGTGAGTTACACAGGCTAGGTGTTACTGTGCCCGGAAGCTGATCGGGATATTGAGGAAAATGGAAAACCTAAAAGCTTTCTGTGTCAGAAGCGGGACCTGCACATGGGCCCCGGATCCCCTGCCCACCCCCATCCTTTTGCAAGACTGTATCTTTCCATCCTTAGCAAACATTAGAGTCATTTGCCAGAGACAGACTTCTAGCCACCGGCAGCCTCAAACAAACCCAACCAAAACAAAACAAAAGGTCAGCGTTGGATCAGCAAAGACTCCTCAAATTCAATGGTTCGGTGAAGCTCCCACAGTTGGCCTCAAGCTGCAGAAGAGATAAGAGATAAGAGCCCCACCCTCCCCACCCCCCACCAACCACAGAGGCCAGGAGGGGACGGTATGAAATCAAGTAGCAAAGCAACAAACCCCATCAGAGCGCCTGTCCCGCCGCCTTCTCTCCTGACCCCTAGGCGCCCTCCTCCTTGGCTCGGGAGGCTCTTCTCTTTCCTTCCCACTAAACCTGCTCTAGCCTTGACCAAGCTGGACCTTTATTTTTAGAACTTCTGGAACAGAAACTTTTAGAAGAGCTAATAGGCACAGAAAGGAAAAGGAAAAAGAAAAAGGAAAAGAAAAAAACAAAAGGAAGGGATTGGCCATTCTGGCTCCTTAAATTCTTCCTGAGGCCTTCCTAACACCTCCTTACGTTGTGCCCTCCCTCCCTCCCTCTCTCTCTCTCTCTCTCTCTCTCTCTCTCTCTCACACACACACACACGCACGCACGCACACACGCGCACAGACACCGGAAAAATCGCTACTTCTTAATCCTCCATTTGGCAGGTCTTTCTACAGCAGTGTCGATGGACCGAAGGTAATAGGGTGGGATGGAAAAATCCTAGCGCAGCTCCAGGGAAGTGATGAGCTAGAAGGAACATACCCTGAGGTCACCCTGCTGGCTCAGCACTCCTCTCCCTTGTAGGCACCTAATAAGCATGCGCTAATTAATCCTGTTCCCCCCAGAGGGAGCCAGTGAGGCCCTGAGGAGTTAAGTGACTTACCCAAGACCACAGCACAGGCTGGAATAGGACCTGGGCCTTGCTGGCCTGAGCTCTCTGCCCACCCACCCAGAGCTCCGTGGAAGGTCCCTTTCTGCTGCTGCAAGGCAGCAGACCCAGGGACACCCACAGGGAAACCAGAGCTGTCGGCCTGGGCCTGGGCTGTGGCCTGGGCCACCACCATTCTCTCCAAAGGGCCGCGTTCCAGACACTGGTCTCATCCCTTCCTGAGGCATCACAGCCAAGTCTCCCAGAGCTCAGGAAACCATCACTGCTCCCTCCTGCTTGCGATGTCATCGTGCTGCTGCCTCCAGCCTTAAGGCCCGAGAAAGAGGCTTCTCAGAAGCTAAGCCCGATGCCCCAGCTCTCTTTCTTCTTGGCCTGGCAGCCTAGGGAGAGTAAAACCAGGTCAGGTGACAGCCATCGGCTCTGCCCCCACCCCACCCCCCCAGGCAGGGAATCTGATGGGGAGACAGAATGGCAAAGCCAACCTCCTTCCAGCCCAGGCTGCCTCATGAGGACCCACTTGGCCCCCCTTTCAGCAAAGAGAGGCAGGCAGTGCTAGTCATAATAATAATAATTGCTGTGATCGGCTGAAGAATGGCTCCCCAAAAGATAGACAAGTCTGTATCCCTGGAACTGTAAACATTGCCTGATGGTAAAAATTTAAAAAAAAAAAAAAAAAAAAAGCTTTTGCGGATGTGATTAAGGATCCTGAGATGGGAAGGCTATCCTGAATTACCTGGAGGGGCCCTAAAAGCAATCACAAGGTCCTTATAGGAAAGGGGCAGAGGGAGACTCGAGCCACAAAGAACGGCGATGTGGCCACTCAGGCAGAGATGAGAGTGATGCACCCACAAGCCAAAACCTGCCAGCAGCCACAAAGGCTTGGGTGAGGCAAGGGATGGATTCTCCCCTGGAACCTTCCAGAAGAGGCACGGCCCCGCTGATACTTTGATTGCAGCCAGTGACACAGATTTTGGGCTTCTCGCCTCCAGAACTGGGAGAAAATCAATTTCCGTTGGCTCCAGCCTGCGAATTTGTGGTTATTTGTTATAGCAGCCACAGAAACTAATACAGGAGCTGACATTTAATAATTACCCACTAGGCTCCAGGGCACTGCCCTAAGCGTTTTACCCGCATTAAGGCATTACACACTGGCTCTGGATGTGAGGTCAGGCAGACATACTCCGGGTTTGCAGGCCAGCTTTATTGCTTAGTGTTGTGACTTTAAGCAAGTTACGCAACTTCTGTAAACCTGTCTCTGAATGCGCAAAACAGGCGTACGAATTACCTTTCTCATGGCGTTGCTGGAAGGCTACGTGGTTACTTAAAGTAAAGTGCTTAGAACAGTATACAGTAAGTACTCAATAAATGCTAGCTATTAGGAGATCTCAGGAATTCGGCCAGCCACAATTAGACCATCATCCTCATCTGTCAGGACATGGGCAAGGCCTCCTGGACCCAGTGCAGGAGAAAAGACGCCGCTGGCAAGTGGGTTTGAAGAGCCAACGGGACAGTCTGAGTGCAGTTAAGCATTTCTTGCCTTAATTAAGCAATTTAGGTCCTTACTGCTGGCCTCGCTTCCAAAAAGGCAGACACCCAAGACGGCGCTCATCGTGCAGCATTGCCCAGCTGATTTTCCAGCCCCTACCTCCCGTGCTTAAGGAGAGGGAGGCACACACATCACCCATAGTAAGGACCTAAGTGGCAACATAACATCCACGCCTGACACAGCCCTGCAGAACCCACCACACTTTCTCCCTGCAACTCTGGCATGGGGAAGCGGAGTCCCACTGCTTTGGAAGTCAACCCCGGGCAAACACCTGAGTCGGCCTCCTGAGTTTCCAAGGCCACTCCAACCAGTCCCAGCCGGGCGGGGCGGAACGATAAAACCAGGGGTCTGCTTTGGTTAGGAGATTGCAGCCAAGTTAGTAAAGAACAGAGGAAGCAAGATCCGCCCAGGGGTTGGGGAAGGGTAACCTAGACTTACCAACCGAAGAAAAGGGAGGAGAAAAAATTTTTTTTCCTTAACTTGGCCCTTTCCGATAAAGTTTGCCCAACTCTCCCGTTTAGGTGATGTCATTCAAAGAAGCAGCGCCTCCACAGGATGGCAGGCCTTGTGTCCCCACCTAAGAAATCTGCCCTCCAGAAATTAACCAAGGGAGAAGAAGGGGCCTGGCCCGGCCACCCGGCCTTGGCTTCCTCCTAGGCAGGGTTCCAGCCCCACGGTCTTAGTCGACAGGCTTAAGGCCCCTGCTGCTGCTGCCGCCTCGTGCAAGCAAGCGGCCGGGCCTCTTCCCGGCGGACTGCAGGAACAGCCACCTGCGCTCCCTCGGCCCTTCCCTACCCCACCCTCCAAGGGGAAGAAGGATGAGGGAGGACAGCTCCCCTCCTTACTCTCGGGCACCCACAGATTTCCGCGCTGCCGTCACCACTGACGAGAACCCAGGTCCCCAGGAGGAATCGCTTCTCCTTCCTATTCCATCCTCCCTATCAATGAACACGCAGCAACACCCACGTCCCCGCTCCTCCTACTCCGCAGGGAGACCGACCCGGGGAGCGACATCCGGAGCTGGAAGGCACCGCAGTAAGAGCGCCGGCCCCTCCGCCCCGCCGGTGCCTTCGCCTTTTCCCAGCCACCGGAGGATCCTAAGCCAGCCCAGCGTTCGGGATGGGATCCTCGGCGGGGCCCCGCCTCCCCGGGGGCCCGGCGCTGCAGACCTCGGGGAGCCCGCCACGGACGGGCTCATCCCACCGCGGGGGCCGGCCGCAGGGCACGGCACCTGGGACGCGACCCCGTAGGCGTGCCTCACCTTGGGCGCCGCAAGCAGGCGCCCCAGGCTGCTCCCGCGCCGGGAGGGGCCGAGTCCCGGGCCGCCCGCGCGCCCGTGCTGCCCCAGCAGGTGGTGGGCAGCGGGGGAGCGCGCCGCCCGTCCGGCAGGCGCGGGGAGGCGAGCCGGAGCGAAGCCGAGGGCCGGCCGCGTGGGGCGCGAGGGGCGCGAGCCCCGCCACTTACGCGCGGGCTCTGGGGAAGCCCATGGAGAGCAGCACGTCCAGCGCCGATCCATGCTTGATGGTGCCCGGGCGCTGCTGGCGGCTCCTCCGCGGGGTGACTTTGCTGTACAGCTCCTCTCTCGCAGCCATGCCGAGCGGGCCGGGGTGGCCGTACTGAGCCATGGCTCAGCGGCCAGCCATCGCCGGGGAAGGCGCCCGAGCCCGAGCGTCCGGGAGGGAGCAGGGGAGGGGGCTCGGGGACCCGGCGCCGGGCGGGAGGCGGCGGCGGCGGCGGAGGCGGTGCTCGGAGCTTCCCCAGAGTCGAGACTGACGCTTCCTGGTGAGGCCACCGGAGCCGGAGCGGCCCGCGGGCTGCTGGGGCCGGACCAGCCGTCAGCTGCTCGGGCCCCTGGGTGCCCCCCAGCGCGGCGCCCGCAGCAGCCCTCTCTCCTCCGCCCCCTTCCTTCTCCGCTCCCAGCAGTCCGGGAATTTGCAATGAGTAATTTTTGAATGGATCAAAAAGGAAAAAGGAGCCCGGTGGGCCGGCCCTGCCTTGCCAGCACCGGGGCCCCGCCCCTCTCTTAAAGCCACAGAGCCGCCCGAGGCTGCTCCGGGGCCGGGCGCGGGCTGCCGCGTCCGGGTGCGGCCAAGGCGGCGGATTCGAACCAAAGAGGGGCGCCCGTGTGCGTGGGTTCCGGGGAGTCGCTCCCCAGGCCCCAGTCTTCTCCATGACTTGCACATAGAGCCAGCTGGGCCTCCAGATACCAGCTCGGGCCGTGTCAACTTTCATGTGGTTCCTGCGGTTGTAGATGGGTTAATAATGGAAATTGGGCCAACTGATGGATGGTGTTAATGAACCAGAAGGCCAAGCCCTGTAGGCCCAGATAAAAGGTTTTGCTTCCGAAAGACCCTACAAAATCCAGAGGATTGTCGTGGCCACTGGAGACCAAGTTCCCAGCAGGTGGCCAAGTGGCCACACTGAAGACCTACCGTGCTCTCCAGGACTGAAATAGTGACTTCAGGGACCTCAGGCTCTCGGGCCTGGGAGGGGAGAGGGAGAGGACTGAGTGGGAAGAAGAAGAGAAAGGGGAAGATGAAAGGAGGAAGGAGAAGGACAGGGAAAGTGGGAAGTGGAGGGGGAGGTGGAGGGAGAAGGAACAGAGAAAGAACACTTTCTAATTATAAAAGGTGTTCAGGCTGGAAATGGGTGGGTTTTCGTTAGGGAATGAGCACCCTGTCAATGAAAGGATTCAAGGAAAGAGTAGCTGATCATTGCTCAGTGGTGACATGTAAGTGAATGTGTATCATAGGTTGGATAAAACTACTCTCACCTCAAAGAAGGTGGGAGTCTTCTTTAAAAATAAATTTATTTATTTATTTAGAGAGAGAGAGAGAGAGAAAGGGCACAAGTGAGCGAGTGGCAGACAGAGAGAGAATCCCACCAGGGGCAGAGAGAGAAGGAGAGAGACAAGCAGGGCTCACCCAATGTGGGACTCCAACTCACAAACCATGAGATCATGACCTGAGCCAAAAGTCAGACGCTTAAACGACGGAGCCCCCCAGGCGCCCAAAGGTGGGAGTCCTAACCATACCCACCCCACCCCATCCCCCACACCCTGAACTTGGCTTGGGGGTTAAAGCTCTTTCATTTGGAGACAAACTTATCGTCCTCCATCAAGGACAAGAGCCCCACTTGATTTCATGGAAAAGGCACAGAGTCAACCTTAGCTGCTCTTTTTTTGCGCAATAATGAACCCAACATTTATTGGACTATTTTATGTCAGTCATTGTGCTACGCATAAGAAATGAATTGACTCTTTGAATGTTTATGACCCTATGGGGTGTGTACAATGGTTATCCCAGTTTACAGATGACAAAACTCAGCTCAGCAAAGTTGAGGAAGACCATAATGGTGGTAAGGGCATAATGAAAGCTTTTATCCACGGTGGCGGCTGGATCAATTGCTTCTGCCCTCCACAGCCCCCTGCCCTTATCTGTGTGCATCCTAGTAACCTAGCCTTACATGCATGAGAGTTCTCCAAAAATATCAGCTCCTTTCCCTGCCTGGAGTGTGTGTGTGCGGGGGGGCCGCGGCCGGCCGGTGACCAGGGCTCGCGAAACCGTTTTTTGCTGCTGCTTTATAAGACGTCTAAAGGTTTTAGCAGGGGAAATGACACAGCTTAATTCTCTTGGGCCAGAACTGCTTTTCTAAAGAATGTCCAGTGGTGCTAGAAGTGGGGAGATAAAGACTACTGGGGCTCCATCAACAACGTGCATAATGCTGCCTTCTGCCTGTGTAAGGGGTGCGGGAGAGTTCATACTTCCCAGGGTGAGAGCTTCTGCCAGAGCAGAGGAAGGGTCCCAAAGCCTTGCAGAGCACTTGCTCAGAGCACGGAGCAAAAAGACAGGACTGGGCTGAGAAAATCATACCTAATAGACTAGCCTCCTGGTGGCGGGGGTGGGGGAGGGATCAGTAAAGGATGCTGGACCTTACCCAATATTCTGAATTTCTTCCAAATACCTGGGCTGAGAGTCAAATGATCTGGAGGCTAGTCAAGAGATAATAATGTCTGTGGAAGCATTTTGTAAACCAGAAGCATAACAAACAAATAATATATAATATTACAAACATATACAAATATTACAATACAAACAAATAGTAACTCAAATGTATTGAGAACTTACTATCTGCCAGTGTTCTTCTTCGTTTCTTACATATATAACTTACTCATTTAATCCCTTGACAAGACATTGAAATAGGAACTGCCATATTATCACTGGCCACTTTACACATGAAGATGTGGAAGCAGACAGAGGTCAAGTATCTTGTCCAAGGTCACATGGCCAATAAATGGTAGAGCCAGGATTTGAACTCTTAAAACTCGTCCAAACGACCCCTTACTGCCATCGTTATGACGATGAAGAGACGTCAACCATTGAAATAACCTCATTACCTTTCTGACTCGTCCAATGCCCCCTGGCACAAAATTGCTGGGTCTCTGTTTCTCCAGCAAAATTGAATTGTCTTGCTCCCTGCCTGTAGGCAGACTGTGCGAGGAAATGTTGGGTATAAACATAGTTGTAGGTAGCCTGGAAAAATCACTGTGGAAAACCAGACTCCTTAGATGGGAACTGTTTTGTCTGGAGCACTTTGACAGAAATCCCAGACTCGTTTCCTCGCCCTTCTTCAGCACGGTTCCAGCGCTCCTTATATTTAGGACTGATGTCATTTGTCTGCACAGGACAGAGGGCTGGCAATGAGGGTGCATCGTGTTTCGATTGTGTTAACTTTGAAAAGCTAGGGGAAGCTTTATATGTGTCCATATCATTATATTAACTGTACTCCCAAGTTCAGAAGCCCGTCTTATGTCTTTTTCTTCTTCTCTCTGTCCTTGAGGAACGGTCAAGTGACTGCAGACTGTTTCCAGTCCCGAGGGTTAGAAATGTTGCTTTGGCAACTGAAGGCAGTTTTTGAATCACTGGGAATGATTTTAGCCCCCAGACTTCAAGGGGACTCCTCTTGGCCAGAAGACTTTGAAACTGTGTGATAAGGAAAGAAAGGAGAGGACGGGAGGGCTCCAGAGCTGGGAATCAGGATGCCGAGGTGTTGGCTGTGACTTTGATACGTTCTCTGCCCATCTCGGGGTTTCAGCTTCCTCACCTGCCAAATGAGCGTGTTGGCTTAGGTTGGGGATCCCTTGGACTTTGCCCAGGGACCCTCAGGGACCCTTTAGGGACAGGGGTTGTTGGGGTTGTGTGGCTGAAGCATGACATCCTCTTCTCAGAGTGGGTACACTTTGTCGGCTTTGGATCACGGGCGTTTCATGTAAGGTTTTCTGTGGGAAGATCGTGGAGAGGATCAAAAAACATCCTGAAACCCACTAAACTAGCTGATATTTAATGCCCAGTCTAGTTCAGAGAGACCATAACTTCCCCGTAAAAGGCAAAGTACAGAGGCATGGAGTGGAATTGTTACAAGGGGAGGAGGTTACTGGGAAGGGACCCACCCGTGAGGGGTGGGCAGGGAGAATGTTCCACACAAGTAGCATGTTAGAGAAACAGACTTTCCCACTAGAAGAAATGCTAATTATGTGACGGGACAGAATGCTACCACGTGAATCACATTGCATTATAAATGTATCAAACCAATATGTTCTTTACCTTAAATTTACACTGCGTTGTGTGTTGATTACACCTCCATGAAAGAAAAGAAAAACTAAAATTAAAAAAGTCATGTCACGGGGCGCCTGGGTGGCTCAGTAGGTTAAGGCGTCCGACTCTTGATCTTGGTGCAGGTCATGATCTCACAGTTTCGTGAGTTCAAGCCCCACGTTGGGCTCTGTGCTGACCGTGTGGAGCCTGCTTGGGATTCTCTCTCTCCCTCTCTCCCTGCCCCTGCCCTACTGTGCTTCTAAATAAATAAATAAATAAATAGGTCCTGTCGGTCCTACCCTGTCCTGAGGCACAATAACAGATGTAAAGACTTAGAGATTGGCGACTATTTCACAGTATTATATTTGTCCTTAGGACTTAGTTCAGGCACATACAAAGTCTGTGGTAGTATTTCTACAATTCCTGCTGGGTTGTTTAATCTTCAAAGCCATACATACACACAGTAGGAAAAACTAAGGCAGAAACACAATTTGGAACATCATGCCCACCGACGAAAACATTTTCTTACACATTGGAAAAATTAAGATCCCTCCCTCCACTGCAAAAGGAAGAAAGAGAGAGGGGGGAGTCTAATTTCTTTTTTTTTTTTTTTGCCCACTTCTGAACAAAGCTGCCAGTGTGCCCTTCTGGAATCCTCCTAGGAGACACTCCATGGTCGGTGTTTCCTCCTTGCAAAGGCCTCATCCCAAATGTCACTGCCCCAGGGTTTGTGAAAAAAGGCTTTCCCTCTTCTTGTACAACTTCCTTTTTGTAAAAGCAGCAAAAGGGGAAATCTTATTTCTAAGAAATAGAATAAAACTAAATAGCTATAAAAACCTAGGTAAGAGGCCAAAAAAAAACCAAAACAAAACAAAACAAAAAAACAAAAACCAAACCCCCAAAACCCAGCTTCCCCTTGATTTAAAAGAGTGGGGAGGCACTTGACTGGCTGAGTTGGTAGAACATGCCACTGGGATCTCAGAGTTGTGGGTTCAAGCCCCATGTCGGGGGTACGGGGTACTTAAAAATAACATTTTACAAAAATAAATAAGAGAGTGGAAACAATAGTCATGGACCAAGATACTTGGAAAAGTAGTGTTTACCAATAAAAAATTCAGTGAGCTTAGGTTGCAAGATAAAATTTTTGAGTATTTGTTTGTAAAAATGTAAGTTTGCTTTAAAAGTCTATAAAAGAGGGGTGCCTGGGTGGCTCAGTCGGTTGAGCGTCCGGCTTCGGCTCAGGTCATGATCTCACAGTCTGTGAGTTTGAGCCCCGCATCGGGCTCTGTGCTGACAGCTCAGAGCCTGAAGCCTGCTTTGGATTCTGTGTCTCCCCCTCTCTCTGCCCCTC